CCACAGAAACCATGTAATTAGTAAAATAAACTGAATAGGCACTGTGGCTGTACATGATCCACCTTCAACTCCAGATGATTAATGCTATGGGAGAATGTTAGACTAGAATGGCCATAGAATGAATTTCTTTTATGAAAATCTGGAAATGTAAATTTTGTATCAATTTTTTAAATGCTGAAGACTAATAATTAAAACATACTTAAATACTCTGATACTGCAACAAAACATATCTGTGAGTCAAAACTGATCCTACTTTTGCTACTTCTTATCTACATACTCCAGGCACAATATCATTTATCTTCATGGTTTCAACAACGATGTACATTTTGCTCTCTTTCATTACCTTCAGATCTACATATCCCACTCTATACCATTCTCCCATACCAACTCAATTTGAGTATCTCATAAACACATGAAACTCAACCTAGCTGAAAGTAACTCAGTATTTTACTCTTAACTACACAATCTCCTGCACTCTCTTTCACTAGTTTGCACTGTTATCTACATAGCTGATCAAGTGAAACACTTAGGTCTCACCAATTTTTTACCTCCTCTAACAATATCCAAGTCTTGTCTCTTCTATCGTCTAAATATCTTTTAAATATGTCAACATCCTTATAATCATCAGCCTAATTTTTACCAATATATACAGTCTTTTCTCTCTTCAATCATTTCTCCAGACCGGCATTCAGGATAGTCTTCCTAAAATACACATCTAATGAATACATTTTCTGCTTAAAACCTTTCAAAATACAATAGTTCCCTACTGCCCTTAGGGAGTTACTATAGTTTGAAAGGTTTTAAGCATAGAACTTGTCAAATTATAGTAGTGCCCTAAGTGCAGCATGGAAGGGAGTCCTGGTGTGGCACTTGTGTAACTAGACCACAAGATTGGCTTGAATTGCAAGGTCAGTGATTCAAATGGCCTATCCGGTCCTTGGAAACACTATACATGGTCACTATGAGTTATAACTGACTCAACAGCATTAACAACAATACTGCCTTTAGATAAAATCTACAATTCTCCAATTAGCTTTAATATTATATACCCTGATTAAATTCCCAAATTTATCTCTTGCATTCTCTTCTGCCTAACCATGCAAACTAAGCAAACTACTTAAAATATCTGGGCATATTCTCTCACATCCTAGTTTTGTATACTCTGTTCCCTTTGCCTAGACATTCGTACTCTCTTTCCCCTACCCTTCACTTACCTAACCTGAACTCATCTTTCACAGACATGTGTAGATGTTAACTTTCCTCACAGATACTTCTCTGAGCCCTCAAGTCTCTATTAGGTGTTCTTCTTATGGAATTGCTACATTATAGTTCCACTATATTGTAGTTGCCTTTTATTTACTCTCACCATCAGTAAATTTGAGCCTTTGAGAGGATGGAAGCTATATCTTTCCAGCTTTTAGTTGTTTCTAGTATCTAGTATCTAGCATATACCAAACCTACTGCCACTGAGTCAATTCTGACTCATAATGACTCAATATAGGGTTTCTGAGACTAAAACTTTATGGCATAGAAATTTGGCATTTAAATTTTATCTACCACAGCCTTATCTTTCTCCCATGGAGCAGCTGAGGGTTTTAAACCACCAACCTTGCAGTTGTTGTTGTTACTGTGTACCATCAAGTTGGTTCCGACCCACAGAGACCCTGTATAAAGTTTCCAAGGAGCAGCTGGTGAGCTTGAACCACTGACGTTGTGGTTCAAACAACCTTGCAGTCCGGCACATTAACCTACAGCGTCACACTAGGATTCCAACCTTGCAGTTAGCAGCTTAATAAATCTAAGACTTGAATTTATTAACTTCTAAATTCATGCTGAAATTTTAATCCTATATAGGGGGGGAAAGTTGGCTTTTTTTTTTTTTTTTTTTAATGCCAAGGCTGCCCTACATAAACAGCCTAACTTAGAAAACTCATATATTTTCCCAAAAAAATATTTTTTTAAAGCAGCTTAGTTCCATACTACCACTTTATGATATCTTCTGCAAACATTACTGTTTCTAAGCAAACCATATTCTGGGCTCCAAATAACTAGTATATATTTTGTGCAAACACAAAGTACTCCCAATTTTAGGAGTTACCTGTAATTCAAATTAGGGGAATTAATTAAATAGAAAAAACTGAAAAATAGAAAAAAAATCCAATAAGCAGTAATTCAAGTAAGGATTTTAAATTAAAATAATCTCGTATTTTTAGTTAGACACAATTCTTACATTTGGCATACTTAGAATATGTATTGTTAAAATTTATTTTCTTATGAAATGACTCTAATTAAACATATATTTTATCATTATTCCATACATTGAACACATAATAACAAAATTTGGCATGCATGTATCTCTAGTATATCAACCAACTAAAGGACAGTTCGTTAAGATAGAAATTTGGCATTTAAATTTTATCTACCACAATGGAGTTCCATGAATCTATTTTTAGAAATCTTATATAAATAAACCAACAGATAAGGGGATAATGATATTATGACTACTAATAATTAAGGAGCTCTGGTAGTGTAGTGGTTACGGGTCAGGCTGCTAAACTCAAGGTCAGCAGTTCAAAACTACCAGCCATTCTGTGGAAGAAAGATGAGGCTTTCTGCTCCCATAAAGATTTATAGCCTTGGACACCCTATGCAGGGTCACTCTGAGTCAGAACTGACTCCACAGCATATAACCACCAACATCACCAGTAATTTCTTGAGAATATTTCAAGGACATTTTTATAGGCATATATAACTCTACAAAGCAAACAATTTATATAGAAAACAGTACATGCTAGTATGATGGTAAATGCAACATAGGAGCTCATACTATGAAAAATAAAGGACACTTTATTTTACTATTTTCATTTTTCCTAAAACTGTGCTTTATAAAATACATTTAAACTATTATATTATTAATTCTGAAATCATATTGACTAGATTTGTATTTACATCAATCATATGTTGTTGCTGTTGTTGTTATGTGCCGTTTAGTCGGTTCCAACTCATAGCAACCCTGCACAGGGTTTCCTAGGCTGTAATCTTTACAGGAGCAGAAAGTCTCATCTTTCTCTCGTGGACCAGCTGGTAGTTTCGAACTGCTGATCATGAGATTAGCTGCCCAATTCGTAACCACTACACTATCAATCATTTAGGTAGCACTAATTTGTTTTATGAAGAGGATTTGTTACGCAAATTAATAGAAATAATATTACAAGAGTGGCAAAATGTGTGATCTATTTTAAGATAATGAACTTATAAACTACTTTAGCAGTATTCAACGAAACAGAAGTGATACATCTATCATTATTTGTAGTAATACTGCATTTGCTTAAAACTTCCATAATTCAATTGGTTCTAATGTTTGTATCAAAATTCTAAAATAGTATTATGAAAAAAGCACTATTTCTAGTAAACTTATTGCTTTTATAAGAATAAGTTTATAGTGGAAAAGCTATTCACAAATTGCTAAAAAGGTAATTTATTTTGTATAATTTTTAAATCCACATACAGAATATTAGAACAAATGATAACAAATAACTTTTATCAGTTATCTTGAAACATAAATGAAAATTATAAGTAAGTTAATGTTGTTGTTGTTAAGTGCCAGTGAGTAGGTTCCAACTCACAGCGACCCTATGTAGGGTTTCTAAGCAGCAGCTAGTGACCTTGAAACACAGACCTTCGGGTTCAAGCCAACCTTTCAGTCCAGGGCATTAACACACAGAGCCACATCAGAACTCCAAGTAAATTAATAGTGACATGAAATTATATTACTAGTGCTTCAATAAAGCCACTGTGTGGAAAAGCAGCCAAATAAGATGAGTATGGAAAAAAGTAAGAAAAAGACAATAAATAGAGTAGTGGGCCTGGAACAGTTCTTAATGAGGAAGTAATAATTACCATTAAGAAAACACTTAAGAACAAAATGCAAAAGGAATATTATGGCAAAAATATAACTAGTAACAATTATGTTTAACAAGTGGTGTGGCCCTACAGGATAAGCACTGGACCACAAGGTTGATTCAAATCGCAAGATGGCAGTTCAAATCCACCAGCTTCTCCTCGGAAACCTTATACAGGGTCACTTAGAGTACAGATAGACTTGATGGCACTTAGCAACAACGTACTTGTATATACATATTGAAATATTGGATGTAGAGAATAGTAGATTTATTATAAAGACCAGAGTCAAGCTTCATGGAATTAGGATTTTTTAATCAGAATTTTAGAGAACCATGATGCAAACTTAGATTATAAGAGAGAGAAAAAGCCATCCTCAAATAAAATATATCTAATTAAGAACCTAGTATGTACAGAATATTAAAACTTTTTAAGGAAAATTGATTTTCTGATTAACAGACCAGGAAAATTAGTTATGTATGTACTACAATAGTTAGCTTGAAGTCTCACACTTTGAGGGTTTTACATTTTCTATGTGCAGAAACATAAATATCAGTGCCAAAGTCAAAGTAGTTATTGCTATTATCAACATACTCAAATAGCTGTAACTATCACAACATGAAAAGTATCGTTTTTCCTTTGAACCTAGAACATTATCAAAATGAGGCAAAAGAAAAAACATGTACCAGCATTACAAAACAGATGCAATCACTGATCAAGGTTATTTCTGCATCAAACTAAATAGGGTCACAATTCATTTGCCAGTCCTACTGGAAGTGGATATACTAAGACTGACTACAAAACAATGAGATTATTTACATGCATAATTTGTAGAATGAGACTTATTATTTTACCTTCAAATTTTCTTTATGCAAGCCTTAATTATTCACAGTATTTGATAAGCCAGAAATTAATATTTGTTAATACTGTATTACTTATTTTTAAAAGCTTTAAGTTTTTAAATTATTTTAAGTACCCTTTTCAATAAAATTAACCATAAATTAGCTATAGATATTTAAAGTAACTATAAGTCAATAAAAATAATACAGAACCATATGAAATATTTAAGCCAAAAAAGTGACAGTGAAGTTCAAACTTACAGTTCAATTGCTTTGTTCCACATGATAACATATCCAGAAAGAATGAAAGATTCAATATTTACAATATGTGTATTTCCTCTTTCTGTTCCAACATAGAGCCATTTACTCTGGAAAGGTAGATGACAGTAAGTAATTCTGAAAGAAAAAAAATTAAAATTAAAATATCTAAATTAAATGTTTTATATTTTTCTTACACTCATGCAATTATAATAATATAAATAATAAAATTAGCTACTGTTAACATTTAATCATAGTTATTGTTGTTGAGTGCTGTCGAGTCGGTTCTGACCCACAATGGCTCTGCATAGTGTTTCCAAAGAGTAGTTGGTGAGCTTGAACTGCCAACCTTGTGGATCAAACTGACTTTGCAGTCCAGTGCATTAACCCACAGCACTACACCAGAACTCCTTTAATCACAGTAGAGGGTATAAGACAACTAATAGTAAATCATTAAAAGCAGTAACGATAACAATTGTTATTTGTTGTTGTTATATGCTTTCAAGTCGGTTCTGACTCACAGCAACCCTGGATAGGACTTCTAAGGTTTGTAAATCTTTGTAGGAACAGAAACCTCATCTTTCTCTCACAGAGAGGCTAGTGGGCTCGATCCACTGACCTTGTGGCTCACAGTCCAGTGCTCATACTATGGAAACACTGCAATCCCAATGATAAAACTGTTGTGAAGTGGCATCAAGTTGGTTCTGACACAAAGCGACCCAATGTAGGGTTTCCAAGGAGAAGGTGGTAGGCTAAAACTACTAATTGCAGTTTGCAATCCAGTGCTTATTCTACAGCACCACACCAGGACCCCAATGATGTTGTTGTGGTTGTTTAGTGCCACTGAGTCAGTTCCAACTCATAGTGACCCTGTATAGAGTTTCCAAGGAGCAGCTGGTGAGTTTGAACCACCAACCTATGCTTCAAACTGACCTTGCGGTCCAGTGCTTTATCCCATAGCACCACACCAGAACTCCAGTGATAACTGTTAAACAAGTGCTTCATACAGGTCCTTTTTAGTATTCCTATTAGTCATGGTATGGTGTTGTAGAGAAAGGTCGATTGGTCAAATCCACTAGCTGCTCCTTGGAAACCCTATACAGGGTCGCTGTGAATCAGAACTGACTTGATGGCACTTAATAACAATTTGGGTCAGGCAATATGATGCTATACACTTCATATATTATTTCTATTTCTGAAAAAAATAAAGCAAAATACAGAATCTATTTTCATTTTACAAAGAGAAACTGAGGCTGTAGGGTTTTTTGTTTTTTTTTTGTCTTGCCCAGGACTGACAACGGGTGTCAAAACTGGGGTTCAAATTCAGCTCTATTTGACTGCTAAGTCACTAACTACACTGTCTATTTTTTAGACAATACTAGATTTAAATAAAACTTGTTGTTGCCTTCAAGTGGGGCCTAACTCATAGTACCCTTATGTTCAATATAACAAAATACTGACTGGCCCTACGCCACCCTTACGATTTTTGCTATGTTTGACTCCAATGTTACAACCGCTGTGATAGTTCATCTTAATGAGGGTCTTCCTTTTTCACTGATCCTCTAACTTTACCAAGCATGAGGTTCTTCTTCATTAACTGAACCTACCCGATAACATGTCCAAAGTATATAAAACAAAGTCTAAGGAACATTTGGGCTATACTTCTTCCAACACAGATTTGCTCATTTTTCTGGGGATCCATGGTATATTTAGTATTCTTCACTAACATGTCAATTCAAAAGCATCAATTCTTAAGTCTTCCTTATTCACTGTCCAACTTTCACATTCATATGAGGTGACTGAGTCAGGCACACCTTAGTCCTCTTCGCTTTTCAACACTTTAAAAGAGGTCCTTGCCAGTAGATTTACCCAATGCAATATATCATTTGAGTTCTTCACTGCTGCTTCCATGGGTATTGATTATGGATCTAATAAGTAAATGAAATCCTTGACAACTTCAGTATTTTTCTCTGTTTATCATGCTGCTTACTGGTCCATTTCCAAGGATTTTTGTTTTCTTTTTATTGAAGTGTAATCCATACTGAAGGTTGTAGGCTTTGATCTTTATTAGTAAGTGCCTTCAAGTCCTCTTCACTTTCAGCAAGCAAGGTTGTGTCATCTGTTTATCAAGGTTGTTAATGATTTTTCCTCCAATCCTGATGTATCATTCCTCTTCATACAGTCTAGTTTCTCAATTATTTGCTCAACATACAGACTGAATATGTATAGTGAAAGGATACAGTCTCAACACACAACTTCCTGATTTAAAACCATGCAGCATATCCCAATGTTCTATTTAAACAACTTCTGTTTGGTATTTGTACAGGCATCACATGAGCACAAATAAGTGTTCCGGAATTCCTATTCCTCATGATGTTATCCATAATTTGTTATAATCTATATAGTCAAGTAGGAGCTCTAGTAGAGTACGGGTTACGAATTGGGCTGCTAATCTCAAGGTCAGCAGTTTGAAACTACCAGCAGTTCAGTGGGAGAAAGATGAAGCTTTCTGCTTCCGTAAAGATGTATAGCCTCAGAAACCCTATGCAGGGTCGCTATGTGTTGGAATCAATTCGACAGCACTTAACAACAACAATAACATATAGTCAAATGCCTTTGCATAGTCAATAAAAACCAGGCAAACAAATATCTCTTTAGTATTCTCTAAAGTTTTCAACCAAGATTCATCTGATATCAGTAATAACATTCCTCATTCCACACCATTTTCTGAATCCAAATTGAATATCTGGAATTTACCTGTTGATGTACTGCTGCACCCATTTTTTAATTATCTTCAGAAAAAAATTTACTTGTGTGATATCAATGATACTGCTCTATTAATATCTGTGTTATGAATCTTATGAAACATGAATTTCAGAATTCACAGAGAGGTGATATATTATTTTACTTTTATATTATTATATAGGTGATAGATTATTGAACTTTTTATTCAGATGTTTGTCATGCAAACAACACAATGAAAACTTAAAAGGCCAGAGATCCACCACTCTCTTTTGCCTTCATCTCCACAAAGGACTTTCTGATGAGTTCTGGTAACCTGTACCATATCCAGAGTAACTATGAAATCTAGGAATTTACCACAGTCTTCTTATCCCAACACTGATACTCTCTGTAGTTTGACCTAATCAGGCTTCCCTAATCATTAAAAGATAATGAAAATTATCCAGGGCTCAAGATGGCTTAGTCAGACACACTATGTCATCCCCTTAAGCTATGATCTGAGAAACCAAGTGAAACAGATAACAACCTTGGAAGCTTGAGGTTCGAAACAGTGACCAAAAGAGAGCAAACAGAAATGATCCGCTTAAGTAAAATAAAGTTATGTGAATGACAAAAGGGAAACAGAGATGTTAACCTGTACATTATAACAACTACAAAACTAAAGGGGAAAATAAATGGTTAAGCTACAGAACTTCCATACAGAGAAGTCAAGTTGATATCAAAATACAACAGAATTGAAATCTTAGGGATATAAAGGTAAATTTCAGAGTAGCCACAAAGAAAATGAATAAATTTACTACTCACTAAAATAAAATGAAAATCAAAAACTCAAGTAAACAAATACACAAATAAACAAAGGATACAAAAAATAAAATACATGTACAAAAAGAACTCAACACAGAACAGAACAAAGAAACAATACCACAAAAAAAGCACAACAAAATCAGTCACAGCACTAGATTCACACTTATCTGTAATACACTGAATGCAAATGGTTAAATTCACCAGTCAAGAGACAAAGAGTGAGAGAATGAATACAAAACAAAACAAACATGACCCATTCATTATATTTTGTCTACTTATAAAAAAGAGATACACTTTAGAAACAATGATATAAGTAGGTTAAAAATCAAAGGATGCTGGCTTCAGTGGCTGGATGATCAGAGCTCAACTAGAAGACGAAAAAGAGGAAAAAAAAGAGTAATCTGATACAATTTGATGAACTCGACCTAAACCTATGGATACTCAAAAGAGGGAACAAATCTTTACAGCGAGGATCATTCCCACCACCTCGATACACAGGGTAGACAGGGATGGGCAACGTGGACATTGGCTACCCCAAATAGTTCTACAATAATAGGTGGGAGATGTTAACGCACAGCTTCAATGATGGACCAAGCAACTAGAAAGAAACTCAACAAAAACAGAGAGCTGCATAATAAAATCAACCAATGAGATCTCATACATACACAGAACACATATCCAACAGCCCACGGTGCACATTCTTCTCCAATACACATGGGTCATTCCCCAGAACAGACCACATTTTAAGTCACAATGTAAACTTCAATAAATTTTAAAAGTGTTAAAGCAATACAAAGCATCTTCTTTGACCAGAACACTGTACTAGAAACCAATAACAAATAACAAGGAAAGGAAAATTAAACACATGAAAACTGAATAACACCTTATTTTAAAGTTATTAGGATATAGAACAAATTAAAAATGAAATTTAAAAAAAAATCAGACTCAAATGAGAATGAAAACACAACATACCAAAATCTGTGGAACACAACAAAAGCAGTGCAGAGGAACATGTACAGTAATAAATACACATATCAATAAAGAAAAAAAATAAATAAAGGGAAAAAAAAGGGCCAAATCAGTCACTTAACCTGACAACTTGAAGAAATAGAAAATGAACAGTAAAAGCAGACCACCATTACCAGAAGAAAGGAAACAATAAAGATGATAGGAGATATAAATGAAACAGAAAAATAACAGAAATAATCAACAAGTTGTTGTTGTCAGGTGCCATCGAGTCAGAACCGACTCATAGCGACCCCATGCACAGCAGAATGAAACAATGTCTGATCCTGGGCCAATCTCACTACCGCTGTCACATTTGATACCATCAGTGATATCACCTGGCTGATCCATCTTGTTGGGGGTCTTCCTCTTTTTCTCTGACCCTCCATCTTACCCAGCATGACATCATTCTCCAGCGACTGGTTGGTTATTTGAGAGAATCCATAAAATTGGCACACCACTGGCAAAATGACAAAAGGAAAAACTAAGAAAATACAAATAATCAAAATAGGGAATTAAATGGGTAACATTACAGTGAAACCAACTGTGATAAAAAGGATAATGTTATGAAAAATTCTACTACAGAA